TATTCAGCCATTACTTGCATTTTAACGATCAGATCTGTCTGTCCCAGTAGCTGGTTCTGGTAAACACGGTAATGCACATTAGGTGACTATAAAATACAGGGAATTTATAATAGCTGAGATGTTAGTTTCTTAAGTGAGACTCACTGTTGTTTGTTCGATAAATAAATCCATCGTGGCAGGAGATGAAATTAAAAATGTTAAAAAGTAAGTGAAATGGATTTCAATGCAACTGAGGTATTTGTAAATTTGACATCGTAATCAGGTGGCCACAGAACAGAAAAAAATCTGTATAATAAATATAACAAATGTTACTCACGATATTTCAGGTTCTTACTTAGACGAATGTGAAGGCAATTACCGTCTGAGACGTTGTGTCTAGTAGAAACTGATCGACGTTACGCTTAGGCCACTATTACACAGACCACTAGGAGCATTCACTACACAAAGATTGGTTCAGTAATTTAATTTGCGTCACTCATTCAGTACTCCCTCTTTACGTGTTTTAAGTAGAGAAAAGTTGTCTTTATCTTGACACCGAACGCTGAATAACTTGCTCCAAGTCTATTTACGTCTACCCATTTAACCATAAAACATCCTGACAAGAGAAGGAGACAATTGATTTTCTGAAAACGTTCAAATAAATTACCACCGGTCTGTACATTTTCTACAATCGTTTTGTAAATTTATAACTTATCCCACTGCATCCAGTTTATAATTTCAAAATAAAACGGCAAGTTAATATTATCGTCGAATGTCAATCACTTTTATATTTCCACACAGATCAATCCAGTAGAAAAGTAAAAAGAGCTCTCTAATCTGAAGCCAATGAGATACCCCAAATCAACACCTGATGTTTACGTATTACGACAGGAAATATATGGGCCTAAAGCTGCTTGAGTGCATGTATCCACGAATACCCTGAGATGTAGATGACCAAACTCAACTAGCGTGTGCCTCCAGTCAATTCCAAACGAGTTTTTCTAGAAAATAAGCTTCATTATCGTGTGCATGTATGTAGAACCGAACACACACATGCGATATTTAAGGTGACAAAGCCCAGTCTGATGTCCAAAAAAGATATTAACAAATTTGGAATAATAGCTTGCCATGATCTAAAAAAAAAAAGAAACTGAACTTATGTACTTATTTGTGACATTATCACTAGCATTGTTATCTCAGTAAGACCAAATAAATTTCATAAGAAACATTTGGGCACTTTCTACGAAAGTCCTTGCGTTACTTCCTTTAATTTCTTTCTTTCCACTTTTTCTTCCTTCGTCTTCGTTCTTGTTTGATCTATCTCACTCCCTTGAATCTTTCATTCATTTACCGATGTCTTTATTTCTGTAACCACAGAATTATTCTCACCAGTCCACGAAATTTGGAGTTTTCTGCAATATTTAACGTTAATAATTTACAGAGATTTTTTAAAAATACAAACACATCTGTCCCCCTCAACCTGTCCCATCAAACCTCGAGCAGTGGATTATAATTTATTATTAAAATACACAACTACCTTCGAGCCTGATTTTGTAAAAACCTATTTTTAATTAACCTAGTTGAATGCAAAACTGTGAACATGACGTCTTTTCCTTGCAATCCCGTTAAAATTTCAACTAATTCTCCTATATAAATGCATGCAATTTCATAGGACCGCATTTCTGTCATTGTTATTAAATGTGTAGTACATAAACCCCTATCTAGAGAGCACTGTATGCAATCTGCTTACGTTATGTTCTTGTATAATTAACAGGATGTTTCCCCATGGAAATAAAAGCCTCATTAGGTGAATAATAATCGAACAATATAATACAAGCAAAATCCCCCCGACAACAAAAAATCATTTAATACGGTTGTACAACTCTCCCCTTGCATATTCTTGGGCATATTCTGCTCAATGATCTTCATTCCAAATCACATCGTCTTCGGAATTTATCTCTGAGCGGTAACTTATTGACAAGTTATGTATAAAAATTTGAATAATTTGAATTTCTTCCTCCTTCGTTACCAATAAAATATTCGCAATTTTCAGTAGACAGTTCTGGTTATTTGCTCCATTAAACCACATTCTGAGTAAAAAATTTGACGGTCTACATCATAGCACAGGTTACATTTCGTATTCCTTCTTTGCAACATTTTAACTTACCCACAAAATTCTTCTACTTATATTGTCTTGATGTCAACACGAGTGGAAACATTCAAACCTACTCTAATTCACTGAACACTGTCTTGAAAGTACGTCCTCTGCAATGTGGCATGCCTCAATAGCCTTGATGTTCAATCGTTACAGACATAAATCAATAGTTGCACAGCTGCGTGGATCAGAACATATATCGGAAACACAAAAGGACCTTCACTAAATTGATATTTACATGATAGTTGCATCTTAATGATAATTATTATGTATACCTACATCACAAGCTGAGGACAGCAGAGAAATGACGATAATGATGATGATATCAGTTAATTCAGTTAATCTTAGTTCTTACTTAGCTAGATAATTTGAGAATTCTGTTTTGACGTTGTCCACTTTGTGGATAAAATATAAACACATTCCAGAGTTCTTAAGTACGTACACACGCACAATTACACAAAACACACCTGGTCCTGAGTTTATACCTGTTATGGCGTAGGGTTATAAAGGTTTGTAAGAACAAAATAGAAGGTTTCTAGACCTTAAACATTTCAAACAAATTATTTACTTATTCCATTACTCCCCTGAATAAACTGTCGATAATCTTTAATTAGGCACAAAGTTGGTCAGTTAATTATTTAGTTGGTTAGAAAGTCACTCTATTAAGTAGTTACTTAAGTCCGTTAGTACCAGCGAGACGGTAATTAAATCTGTGCTTCCTAAAAACAGAATAAATTTGATAAATCTCGTTGTTAGGCTTACATTCGATCAGTGGCTCTTCTTAGTTGCTCTCACATGTCTTACTGCATATAAATTCAGACAAAATATATGCATGATTCTGCCCTGTTTGTTTTTCACTTAAAACAACACCACCTGCGCACAAAATTTGTGTTAGCGTCGGTAACTTTTTATTCAGCGTAGAGTCACTTAAAACTTTGCACGGGAACCGTAAAGTTAAGTTCCTCTTGCCAAGTTCTAATGGAGTAGGAGTGGGGCAACAGGTTTCTTTAAGGGACTATATAACCTGTAGATTGCTTACAAATGAGTTTTTATGCCTCCCCATAAGCATCATCACAGCAAGAACGCTACTTCAGACTAAAGCAAAGACGTACGGAACCCGTCCTTCGTGATACATACACACGTTTGTTCGTCAACATCGTGTTCGCAAGCCAACGTAACCTATATTTTACCGACGCGATTTGTTGCTAGTATAATTATCCAATCCCACTTAAAGTAACACAATTTTTTTCAATTAATTACTATTTATTTTTCAGAAATAAAGTAGAGACTCTGGAAATTATTATGAACCGCTATACGGCCTCGCAGCGTGAAGCATTTGTTGAGTTTTACTGCTGAATTTCATTGACGTAGAAATAATTTACGGAAATTTTATCCCCCGAACGACAGCAGCGAATCTTAACGTAGAGGTTACATTTTCTTTCAGTACATGACTCAGATGGTGCAAGAATTGCATACAAGACAACATTAAAAGCACCTAAAATATTCCCGCGCTTTCCCGCACATGATTAATTACTCGCCACTCTGTATAAAGTGGAATCAGAGGACTCAAAGTCACTACATAAAAATTCTGTAGCAGGCTTTTTAGTAACACAGACCCAAGAAGACCACGAAAAGTTTCACTCGATATCGACCATAGTCAAGATCTGTTTCGGATGGGTTAACCTCCCGTGTAGGCCTACGTCACTGTAGTCCTGCCATTACACTACCCAGCTCTAAATGAAGGCTTTTCCCGTCGGTCACATTAAATCATAATGAGTAAAGTGAATGCTGGTGTTTGTGCGTCAACGGAAACCACAGAGTCATCGCACAGCGTACAGACTACCTAAAACATGTACAACGCTCTACTGGATTGGCATAAAGAACTTGAAATTTGAACCTGTCTACACGTCACCATACAATCATTCGAGCGATCTCTAGCGGGATTCTGACAGAGATTGGCAGGTTACAACTTCAGTGACAGAATTAAATAAACTACTATTACTAACATATGCAGGTTTCTGGGCAGATTTAAGGAATTTGTGAAATGCTGTAAGACTGGCATACTTTTTTCTTGTTAACTTGTACGATAAATAATAGACATTACTGTCGACAGAGAGTGATAGGTAACATAACTTACATACGTCGAGTGTGGATTTGAACCGATTTGCCCGTGTAATGTCCACACCAACTTGTGTTCTGTAAATCCATGCTTCCGTCGCATTTCTAATACAAACTGGCTGATTGAATCTGAAGTCGCTTATCTAATTTTGAAGTGCGAACAGACTTTTTCCAAGTAAAATTTACCGGCGTGTTAAAAACGTTTAATGATTTTCATCTTATAATATTCCTAGCACATTCTTAGAATAATTTACATAAGAGTTTATATTTTCAGAAATTCTTTGCGCTACTCCGACTGTGGAGCAAAGTGGCCCCATGGTTTCCTTCAGCAGTTTCTTTAGCGGTCTGACATTCTAGGAACTTTTCTATGCTTCACAGATGGTCTAAATTTACAAACTAAAGCTTTCTTTTAAGTTTTGATAAACATTTTGTAAATGTTTGCTGCGATATAAAAATGTTTCCTTAAAACTTGTTATTTTTGGAAGTTTTCGCATCTCCGCGGAGCACCTATTGAAACCCATTTGTGCGTTCATCCATACGCATATACCACGAGAACGGCTGAATGGATTTTCATTAAATTTGATATCGACGTTATACAATATTAGGCTACGCCGAACTCATACTGTCTGATTTCCCTTTAATACCAACGTGATTGACGCTCGAACTTTTGAGGTGAGAGTATTACCCTCCTCGATGACGTATCACAAAATATGCAAAAAATAAAACAAATAAAAAAATCACCACTCACCTAAGTCGTCCACTTCACACGGCAGTACGAGGGTGTCGCCTATCACTGCCCGAAACGTCTGGCCGTGCGACAAGAAACGTGGAGCCATCGTCACATCAATTGATACTCCTGCAAGAGAAAGGATCGACATATTAATACAGGGACATAAGCTATCAAATTTCAAAAGAAGTAAAACTCGCCGGGTTGTCAACGTACAGTGAGGTTATTTGACGTCTGTGCCGGCTGCTGTTCCTTTACTACTTGCGCGATTAGTGTCTGCTGCTGCTCTTCCTAGACCTAGTGGCATAGCCGCCAATTATCCCCACTGTCTTGACCCTTCTGAGGTTTTAATTGAAGGTCATACTATATTTCAGTATCTTCATTGTAATGTCTTGTCTTGTCCATAGATGACGCCAACGAAAAGTTGAGACCCGCAGTGCACAGGCACTCGAAGAACGGGTCGTTCCCAGTATCCCATTGTAATGTACAATCTCTACTCATAATTAACATTGTTTTCCTACACTGTATTGTCAACATATGACAAACGAGTTAATTTTCACATATAATATCAGATTGATAAGTTGTTTAGAGATTAATAGGCAGGTATTTGTATAACAAGATACCTCGATTGTAGCACGGAATGTGTTAAATTTAAATACATAGTAAAACAGAAATAATTTCGATAAAAATATATATTAAGTTCTTCTAAACAACTCTAAAACTTTCACATATATTTACATATAAATGAGCCTAATTAATCTAGTCTTCTAATGGGAAAGTGGAAAATAAGAAGACAGTTTAATTTATTGTATTAATATTAAGTAATTTATATTACTGAAAATATGTAGGCCCATAGAAAGGCAATTTTAGAGGAAATTTATGTGATCAGATAATTTTTTTTAGTTGAAAACGCGTAGTTCATTGTAAAAGTTAAAATCACTATTTAGAATTGGAATAATTTATTTTCGTTGTTCGGTTGATAGGTTATGATAGGTTAGATAACTTTTCCAGGACACACATAATTTTTATTTTTATTATTAATCAAATACTTTTGTTATTTTAATATTGGGTAATGTAAATACTGAGTATTTGCACTGTCTTCGTTCTATGCAGATCGTCTATATTCGACTGTTTACAGTGCAGTCCGTCATCCTTAATAAAATAATGAAGCAACGAAACAAGCAACCAACCACCAATCAGAATCACTGTAATATCAGTCCAGAACACATGGGTTTATTTTCGCTACCCTAAGAAATACATAATTACATTACTTATGTAACTATGTAGTTGGCAATCCTGTGGTTCATCCATGAGCTGACATACATCATTAATGCTTCTGAGTCAGAGTAAAGCAACTTAATATTCTTGACAAATAAGCAAGACTATAACTTGGTTAACAAATGCGCTAACACTTCTTTAGTATAGCAACATTACTCTGTTCATTAGACTTCAAAACATATTCTGACTTCTGAACCAGTTTCTCTGACTTTGCGTCAGATCATGTTATATAGGAAGGACTGAAATTCTGGTCTAGAATATTCCAGAAGCAACAGTAATTTCATCTGCAACAGAAACGTAACTTCTGAAGCAGTTTGAACCTTCTACTGCAGATGAAGCTATGTAGAAAACATAATTACTACGTTTGCAAACAATTTGACAGCTATAAAATACCTAAATGCTCTGAAGTTTGGCTCGGATTTAATTAAATCAATTAAATTATGCTTACGTGTATGAAGTGGACTACACGCATATTTGTAAAACGTTTTTTCGTCCACAATTTAGGAATATACAAACTAACAATTCAAAAATTCAATTCAGAATTAAAACCCTACATTTAAAACAACATAAACACTTCTTGTTTTAAACCATATTAACCCTTTGAACCTAAGATCGTCTAAATAATATTTTTGAATTCAGCTCTACTGCAAAGAAAACACTTCATTCCAAATATCAATTTGTTAAATTTTTAGAAAATAATCGCTCTTCAGAGACAGAATCACTGGGCTTCAATGGATTAAAAGTAAAATTAAATTAAGTGTCGATGTAGGTCTTCAGGGTTTCAACACTGAAGACGGAAGAAGTATGTTCCTCCGAAATGTTACCTTCCGACACGTCCACACGGCGTTACGACCCAGAACACCAATATCACCATCTTCACTGCCATGAGAACACCAAATCTCTCATTTATATTTATTATAAATATTATTCAGTAGTCTAAAGCGCACTTAAATACAGAATGTCACAAAATATGTATACACACTATAATACACAGTATTAAACTTTAATCATCTTTACAACGAAGCTAACGGTGGTCATTTTGAACCCCTACACTAGATTCACTAGTTCAGTTAGTGTCATTGCTGACGTATGTAATGGTTTAATTTATTAAAATGTCCCTTCATTCAATGAATGTGTGTGCACAACCTTTTTGGGAAATTCTGTGAAATGGTAATTTTTTATAAATTTATAGACGGTTGTATCCTTAATGTTGAAAACATTTTTCAACAACAGATCTCATTCTGTAATAAATGAATTTGAAGACAAATGAGGGCAGCGAAATCGCTATAAATTAAATCAACAACTCTGCGTTTTCCAAACTAGATTACATAATACAATACTGCTACTTCATCTGTTCTTGTGCAATTGTTTAACAACAATTAGTTTATTTCATTTGTCCTTTATTCAATCATTCTTTTCATGCTTTATTACCCGGGACTGCGTTTTCACACTTTATAAACCACGGTATGAAATATGTTCGTGCTCCATCCAATGACATAAAGTCACAAATTTGTACCAAGTTAACCCCTAGCCGCGCCATTTTAATTTACTCTATGACTCTTTCTTAATTTCCTCCCGTTCTCTTTGTATCAGCCACTTTGTCTGTCTGTCCGTCTGTGTGCATGTTTTATTCCATTACTACTCAAAATTAATTAAAATGTGATGCTACATTAAAGCTTGTTTGGTTAGTTTTTGTCTGAGTCAAGCCTGCATTATTTGCGATTTCATATCCAACGTTGTTTTAATTTAAAATATTAGCCAGCGTCCAAAGAACGTATATGACATAAAATTAGACGTCATGCATTTCGTTAAAATATTTTTCATGAGGTGAATATTTGATTAAATACAAGGGGAAATAATTCATGTGTATATGAACTGTCATGTGTGTATATTATTGATTTGTTATCGCATCAACAGAAATTATGACAACGCAATGTATACGTCTATCCGCTCTGTCTATTACTTCCATAAAAATTTTGTATCTGCAATAAATTAAGATAAAAATAAATGTAGAATATATTCTCGAAAAACAACTCTTTCAGAAGAAGCGTATATTTTATTTCAAAATGCAACACCAAACTTCTAGGTGTAGTGGGTGGTACTATTGCTTCAAACTGGTTCAAATATTGGTCGAAAATCTGCTATCCTAACGATATCGAGTCTTACCTCAGTCACTTTATAAATTTCGGTATAGAGGTCATACCTTAAACCAAAACATAATTAAATAAGAGCTTGATTTTCGTTACTTGTTAATATCCCTTACCATTTTATTGCGTATCATAGGTTACCTTGTATTTAAATGCTAGTCCTCTTTAAAGTGGTTTATTTTAGGGTTTTCGACCTTTCTAATACCGAGGGCCCAATTCCCAAAATTACTCCATATATTTTAATACATAAATAAATAAATAAATACTAACAAATATATATAAGATTTTGAAAACCAATGTGTAAGTAAAACATATGATGAAAAAACCTTAAACTTGCAGTAATATAGCATAAATGTAAAAGGCAGAATGTACTCAACTCGCAGACCGCTTTAGGTTCAACTTTCGGTCTCCCAGTGGTTCGCGGATCCCTGCTTGAGAAACAGTGGTTTATTTGATGTCTGACCATCTCTCAACGTTGGTGTAGTTGAAATTACAGGCTCACGCTACTATGGAATTATACTAATAGAATAAGGTTTCTTTGAATAAAAACCATAATGTAAAGGGATAGATGAGAAGACTTGATGGTAATGGAAGCTCTTGTCTGCTAATTTTCACTTGCTGTTGTGCGGTGCGCTGATGGAGGCAAAACCTACAGAAACCCTGCAGAACGTAGGTTTTACAGCTGTCTCTGCTTTGCCCCTCATCAACCCCAAAATTGCCGTAAGGGAAAATGTGTTTTGTACATATGACACGATGCCGACATGTTAGCCGCGGGACAGCACTAAGCTGGGTCTGCTGCAGAAAAAAGCGACGTCATTAACATCTCAACACTAGGAGGGCATTATTAAATTCCAGTGATGTGACGATCTCTTAAGATATTTATAATCTTAGTTAAAGTTTCAGTTAATGGAAGCGATTCTTACTTTGATATAAATGATTTAACCGTGTGTTGACGGAAGCGGAATCTGAGAGAAATAGCAGTTGTAGCCAGTACTAGTAATAGTAGTAGTGGTAATAATATAATTACTGGTGTATACAAAATGCCAGCTAATACATGTCTCCGCTCCACGAACTTTGATACGTACATAGCACGTTAAGGATTCAAGACAAACATATTTGTAATTCCCAACGTATAGAAAAATTTCATACAGAATTTCCTTTACGAAACGTTGAACCTCATTTAATAAATCAAGAAGTGACTAAAGTCATTTATGTATTTCAGTAATTAATCCCTAATTCCATAAATTGTTTCTCATTACATATTCTAAAAAAAATTTAAATAGTTCTTTTTAATTTCATCCAGTGATGCTACCATTTTTGTTAAATTATCTTAGGAAATCTGCATATAACACACAGTATTAGCATGAAATTATTGGCAAACATGTAGCGTGCATGATAGAGAGAGATACCAACATTTTAATCGGAAATTCTAATGGAATCAGACGACTCGAAATACCTGAACGTAGATAGGATGATAATACTAAAATAGTTCGTAAAGAATTAGGGTGTGGCTGGTTTCAAACAGTCTCAGGATATTGACCAATGTTTTGAATAGAATGCGCACGTAGACACCAGAATGTACGGGAAATTTCTTTAGTAGATGAACGACTATTAGTTTCTCAAAAATGATTTTGCTGCTAAAATTCAGTTCAGGTAATCATTCTCAGCAAACTTTGCTATAAAATAGATAATTTACTAAGCTGT